CCCCAAAACCCCAAAACCCCAAAACCCCAAAACCCCTGAACCTTAAGTGCTATTAATAAATATGTCTTGGGCCCACCACTGAACTATTTTTGGCTGTAAGCTTCTCTCACTCATAAGTTATGCTTACCCCTTGTTATAGCCATTGTTGTTGCCTTCTATGCTATACTGATTTACATATCAAAATCTACAAGACTATCAGGGACTTTTCAGATTAGATCGAGCTTTGATGGGAACGCAGATGTGTTTGAAGAGGAAAGTGGGGTTTATAGGATCTATGCTGAGAATAAATTGGCTGGAGCTTATGCTAATGGATATACGACTGCTTCTAACAGGCTTTGGCAGATGGAATATCTAAGAAGACTCGCTCAAGGAAGACTGAGCGAGATCTTCGGTCAATCAACAGTGCCTATCGATGAAGGATTCAGGTAAGATGTTTAGAACATTTAATAGGATTCTTGGGTTCAAAAAAGTGTGTGAGGAAGAACTTGAATATTTGAAAGATTATAATACAGAATTGGTAGATGCTTATTTCCAAGGAGTGAATGATTATGCTCACACTCATTCGAGTCCCCTCCAATTTCATTTTTTCGGAATCAATTATGAGAACTACACAATTGTGGATTCTTGCACTCTCACAAAGCTAACGGGGTTCATGTTATGTGGAAATTGGGGAGACGAAGTAGTAAGAGATTACCTGAGTGCTATTACTCAAGATGAAGAGCTTGTGCAAGGCCTCTACTCATATTCAGACTCTCAATTTGATGAATTTTCGACTACTATTCTAAATGAACAGGAGCTGATTGACATTGGATTTAATACTACAGAAAGACTTCCTCAAGTAGAAAATTTACTCAAAGGAAATATCACTAATTATGTCGATGAAGTTGTCTCTGAAATGATTGAGGAAATTGAGAGTGTCAAAATTGATGGAAGCAATGCTTGGATAATCAGTGGAGAGCATACTGAGACAGGCATGCCAATTATTTCCAATGATCCACATCTCGGAAATTCATTACCATCAATTTGGTATTATTCGCACATTGAGTATCCGGATGGAGCATTCATCAGTGGAGCAACTATACCTGGAATACCATTTTTCGCAGTATTCACCACTGAGAAAATAGGTAATTTTTTTTCTTAAGTCTAGCTTTCACAATTACCGCGATTCCAGCTGATGGAAGCGATGTGTACAAGGAAAAGATTATTGGGAATGAATATGAATACGAAGGGAAGCTATACCCTCTCAATGTGAGAAAAGAAGTCATTAAAGTTAAAAACAGTAATAGCATGTAAGCTTTTAGATCCGATATTAATTAAAAACTATTTAGTTTCTAATAGAACAATTTTTGGTTTGATTCTTTTTTTCTAAATTTTACAAGCATTCAAACCAAATAATGCCTTGTTATTTTTCAAATTTTATTACTAATTAGTAGATTTAGTAAAGGATCTATAGATACAATTATACATTACCTCGATATATTTGTGGGATAGATGCAATCCTTAGTGATGAATTAAGATTAAAATTTATACATACTCTGCTTGCATTCAAAATTATTGTTGCTTTATTTCAAAATATATCTCAACAAATAGGAATCATAACTTATTGCAACATTAATGCCATTTTTATAGAGTTCTGAAGGTAAAAAGTACAAGGCATGGACCACTTCTCAATCCAAAAAGCATCGAAGCACTGAATAATGTTGCCAAAGGAGCCCCAATCAAAATGCCAAAGGGAGATTATTCATACAGATGGGGAGGAATTATTCCACAAGATAATCAAGCTTTTAAGACATTCAGTAATATCAATGATGCCCAATCTGCAAAAGAACTTCTAGATATGGTGAAGCAGTCTAGTGGATTCGATGATAATATTCTCTTCTGAGACGTAAGCCTCTTCTTAAGATTATAGAACCTAGGAGAACATGGTAACATTGGATATGCTCCTTATGGGTCTTATCCAAAGAGAACCAAAGATGCAGGTAAGCTTATTGCTACTCTGGTAGGCCACAGGATCTCAAGAGGTTGGATCAATGAGAATGAGTGGGATGAATACATTCCAGGAGATGAGAAGCCGTACTTGTTAAACCCAAAGAAAGGATATATTGTAATGGCCAACAATCCAATCAGTACTGCAAACACTAAAAATCAGATTTCTACTTACAGTCTTGGAACTGCAAGAGCATATAGAATTTCTGAGCTGATAGAAGAACTAATCAGAACTAAGAGTAAGCTTCTGGATATATTGTAGGTGGAAGCATTGGATACAAAGACATGATTGACATCCTCAGCGATGTAAAAGACCCATATGCTGAACAGAAGAAGCAATATTTTATCAACATCACCAGACAATACATGAAGAGTAAGGATACCAACAAAACTTGTAGAAAATAACATTGAGAGCCAAGGGAAAGAAGAAATCATGAACATGCTCGACAAGTGGGATGGCACTTACAAGATAGACATGAAAGAGCCAGTTTACTTCACATTGTGGGAATTCGTATTTACTTAGGATAACCTTGTATAGTTCTTCAGAAGTACTTTCATGACAGAGCAATTCAAAAATAATAAAGAAACTAAAATGAAAATTTTCTCAAATGGATATTTTGAAGCCAATTTCGTACAACTTTTCAGAAATATTTCTTCAAATCCTGATCATTTTGGTAAGATACTTTGTTACTTTTAGCAAAATATTGTAGAAAGTATGGAGCAATAGATTCTGAAAATTGTCCTCATTTGCTCTACCTTTCGCTAAACAATACAATCGAGTACACTAGAGCTTTCCATGATAGCGACACTTTGTGGGGAGATGTGCATACGATGAGATACCCTAACATTCCTTTCACAAAATCAATACTGAAGTGGTTCTTTGATAGAGAAGTTAAAGCTTCTGGCAACTTGAACACGATCAATATGGCAGGTTTCAAATTCAGCAAGTTTGAAGGAAAGAATACCCCAAATACTTATTATATCGGAGATATTTGGAGCTGGTTATTTGCTTCAAAGAGAGAGTTTCCGTCTGATTATTCTGGAAACCTCAAATTTATCTCCTTGATGAACGGTACAGTGTACTACTCTCTTGACACTGGAGTCAGCGAGAGCTTGTTCTCAGGTTTTTATTTCAATATGAATCCAAGACACATGATGAACAAACTTTACAGAGGTAATATACTTATAATTAATTCATAGCTGATTTCCCAAGAGAAGACTATTTCCTCGCAATGGATATGGAACCAATGAGAAGATTTAAGATAAAAAATATAGAGGCTAAGGCATGCATTGAGGATCTTTAAAATGTTCTCTTCAACTGTGATAGCAAAGACCCTAGTTGAAGCTTGAGTAAATATTCAATCAAAACATAAAGCAATGGGGTTTTGGGGTTTTGGGGTTTTGGGGTTTTGGG